GACGTCGACAGTCATTTTGTTCATTACAGAGTTGTTGTTGTGCTCTTGCTACACCTTACATTAATACAAGAGAGAAAGACTTTTATTGGTCTATAACCAGAGTTTAAAGACCTAATCTCCCTATCCACTGCTAGTAGTCAATGGTCCATTTCAAGACTTCAGATAGTTGGAGCTGTCGAACGGCATTGTGAAGTGAAAATACAATTTTCCTCTTACATGCTCCTGGGGCATCTGCTGGTTCCAGAATGAGCTTCCCAATGGCATTGTTTTGTGTAAAAATGTGATTGCATCCTACTACAGGTTCCCCTCAGGGCATTCCAGTGACTCCGGAAAGGTCAATGTGGTTAATAATCCACTTCAATTCTACAGAAAGCATATTCATGAAAATCCATGAAGAAAGAGCTGTCGCACGGCGTGTTTTTGAGTAAAAACGCTATTGTTCCCTGCTACAGGTTCCCCCGGGGGTATCCAGTGGCTCCGAGAGCGGCCAATGTGGTCTATGATTCACTTTAAGTATATCGAAAGCATATTCATGAAAATCCATGAAGAAAGAGCTGTCGCACGGCACGTATTTGAATTAAAACGAAATTGTCCCCTGCTACAGGTTCTCTCGGGGCATCCCAGTGGTTCCGAGAGCGGCCAATGTGGTCACTGATGGATTTGAAGTTTAATGAATGCCTATTAATGAAAAACCATGAAGAATAAGCTGTCGCACGGCATGTTTTGGTGCAAAAATGCAATTGTCCTCTGCTCCAGGTTCCCCCGGGGGCATACCGGAGGTCTCGAGAGCGGCCAATGTGGTAAATGATTCACTTTAAGTCTATAGAAAGAATATTCATGAAAATCCATGAAGAAAGAGCTGTCGCACGGCATGTTTTTGAGTAAAAACGCAATTGCCCCCTACTACAGGTTCCTCCCGGGGTATCCCGTGATTCCGAGAGTGGCCAATGTGGTCATGCCTATGAATGCCTATTCATGAAAAACCATGAAGAATGAGCTGTCGCACGGCATGTTTTGGTGTAAAATTGCAATTGTCCTCTGTTTCAGGTTCCCCCGGGGGCATATCGGAGGTCCCAAGAGCGGCCAATGCGGTCACTAATCCATTTAAAGTCTATCAAAAGCCTATTCATGAAAAAGTTTGCAGCAAAAGCAATCGCACGGCATGTATTGGTGTAAAAACGCAATTGACCCCTGCTACAGGATCCCTCGGGGGTATCCCGTGATTCCAAGAGCAGCCAATGTGGTCAATGATTCATTTGAAGTTTATGGAAAGCCTATTCTTGAAAAACCATGAAGAATGAGCTGTCGCACGGCATGTTTTGGTGTAAAAATGCAATTGTCCCCTGCTCCAGGTTCCCCCGGGGGCATACTGGATGTTCTGAGAGTGGCCAATGTGGTCAATGATGCATTTAAAGTTTATCGAAAGTCTATTGACGAGAAACCATGAAGAAAGAGCTGTCGCACGGCATGTTTTGAGTGATTAAATGATCTGCCCGCATTCATAACCCTTCACCAGAACTGATTCCAGGGAAATGGCCATATCTCGGTTGATTATAGGCCGATTTTAGTTCTTGGCATATGATTCGCTTAAAAAATAGTTCTTCTTTTGTTGTATTTACTAAAAATATATATATTTAACCAGCATCATATATAAAATTTCACCACAAATTTAGCAAGTTAGACAAGCCCTCCGGAAACCCGGAATATCTCCGGTATCCGGTGACCAGAATTATTTTCGTGGCTACACCGTAAAACAAAATTAGTTTTCCAGTCGAATACTCTTGGAAGATTTAAAATCGGATCATATTTGACGAAGTTGCAACACTCCAAAGTTGACCAAAAATTTGCCTATCCTAGTTATTTTGAGTAACCCCTGTATATGGCCAGGTTCTCGAGGTATAGCATCTACGGAAAGTTATTATGCACACTAGCACCGCATAGTGAGATAGTTCAGAACTAAATTCTAGCATTGGGAAGAGGTAGTTGATATAAACGCTAGCGCCACGTACACGAAACGAAAATCAATTACTTTATTCATGTGTTTCACTTATACACGGCGAATGAGAACGACTCAAATTTGAGTTTAGTTCACTCATAATCGCCAAAAGTGCAGGAACTCAGCGATGAGTAAAATTTGTCCCATGGTTTCCTGTGGAAAACCTAAAAATCAATCTTTACTTTTCTCAAATTCAGGAATTTTTCCCTGGAAAATCCTGGAAAAACCTGGGAAAACATGAGGCAAATTAACTCATCGCTGAGTTCCTGCACTTTTGGCGATTATGAGTGAACTAAACTCAAATTTGAGTCGTTCTCATTCGCCGTGTACATTTTTGCCAAAACATCAGCTTTATACATTCCATAAGACAAACCACATAGGTCCTATAAGAATGCATAAAAGGTATGTGTGACCGCTTATACATTTCATTTGACACATGATCTTTATTAACTTTTTGCAAGGCGTCTGCTTATTAGTTGACTTATACATTTTATAAATAATCAGCAATAGAAATTTGCCAAAAGGTATAAGGAGATTTCTATCCGTGTAGTTCCTGAACTGATATTGTCACCATCTGTAAAGTCTTGCTCATCAGAACAACTTTGCCGAACAGAAATTTGTGTGATAGCCAAAATTTCGAGATTCATCCCCAACTGAATGTACACATATTCACTATAGCGCTATAGCGCCGTGCAGTGAGATAACTCTGAACTTATTTGTCTACCATCCGGAAACCCTTGTTCACCTGAACAACTGCCCTGAGATGGTCATGAACTAAATTGTCTAGCATTCGAAAGCCCATGGTCACCTGAACAACTTTTCTGAAGACAGCAACTTCTTAGACAGTCAGGATATTAAGATATGTATTCCATTGCAGCTGCTGGCCAAATTATCGCAGGACAACAAAATCAACCATGCTTGAAAACAACGACAGTTTATATTGGAGACGTAGCGCTTAATACGACAAACACGGCAAGGAACGATTTTGAAGCCAAGTTATTAACGAAAGAGAAATTCGATGAAGTCAATGTTACTTAGGACCTAATCCATTGTTCTGCTTGAACTATGAAGATTTCATAAATGAAGATCCTAATTATGACCATTTGAATGACGGTTCAGAAGAAGTTATTCCCAGCGTTCCGCGTGCGCGAGGAAGCCTATGTTGAATTAAAAATCAGAGGTAAATATCTGAATTATCGCTAAAAGCTTTAACTCAATCCTTAATTTTTGCTTAAAGGTTGCTGAATATGTGGCGATAGAAGGCTAAATTTTGAAGGCAAAAATTTAATGCGGCTTTTAAAAGTTTGTCATAATTTTCAAATTAACTTGTACGTAATGTTGTCGATTTACGCGATATTTCATGTGAATCTACATGAAATATCCTGCCTGATTCCAATAAATCTAGCATTAACAACGTGTGCATTATAAATTGCAGAAATTTACAGGAATTTTTCGAACGACCTTAATAACCATTATAAGAAGAACTAGTTTTGGAATAGTTACAATATTGTAAATAATCAATAGACATTGAAAAAAAAAACAGATTACACATAAACAATAATAGAACAACAAAGTTGACAAAGAACACACTCCACAGAACAAAATCACGCACACCAATAAACACGCAACGAACGAAGGCAACGAAACGACACAAACACGCAGGTAATGAAAAAGTGAACATTTTGAAAATCACAGTACAACATCGGCATTACCTTTCTTCGAGGAAGAGCAAAGATCCTCTTCCGGTGGGGAAGGTACAATCCGATCCAGCACCAGATAGCCAACGACCTTTTTCTCCGGTAGGCCTGTCACATTGGACGCCGAACCAGCACCACCACTACCAACACCGGCACTCATAAGTGCCAATTGTGGCATTGGTTGTGGTCCTTGCGGTGGCGGCCCAGGTTGGTGGCATCCTGGGCAGGGCAGGAACACGTATTTGCAATGAATGCGCGGTGTGCAGCAGCAAGTGTGTTTGTGTCAATTATCGAGTAGGTACGCGCGCGGGCAGATGTGTGTGTGTGTGTATGGGGAGGAAACAATGGAGAAAAGAGTGGTGAATTTTTAAACATGGAAATCACGAACGCGCTAACTTCAGGTGATAATTATGTGGAGTGGTTTTTTGCAACTTAATGTGAATAATTTGTGCGGTCGGTTGGAAGGGAAAAGTTGTAATTTCGGTGGCACAACAGGTAAACTGAGGATTCCCGTGGAATGGTTCTGGTTTCTCAAGTCGTGCTAATGTAATGTAAGTGAGGTTATGTATCGAAACTTTGCCACGGTGCGGCGTAATTCCCAAGTCGCGCACTGGCAATAATTTTTCCGGGAACAAACAGCAAAATGCCATTTAAAATTTAAATAGAATAATAATACCACCATGGCTGCTGCGGTGTGGTTTTTATTAATTTATGGCACCGAGTTGGCCATGAGTTTAGAAGGAAAGATCTCAGCTGCGCGGCTGCGTCCCTAGCACACTTGACTCTTTGCAAGAGCATGACGCTGCTGCAGCCTACTAATGCGACCATTGGTTGCCATGACTGCCGCACTGTTGATGATGCAATTAATTGCTGCCCTTAAATCAAATGCTGTGTTAAATAATATGTTAATGTCATGTCGAGATACGCGAACTGTGTGAAGTATTGGTCCCCCGCAAGCTCAAGACTTCTCGTCCGACCGGAGAGCAAGCGCTCCCGTTTTTTTTTTCAGGAATTAACATATTCATAAGATTCTTGGAACGCTTCTCGGTTTTAATTGCCGACCAAAGCCAAGTTCTGGAAAAGCAACCAGCACTTTTTTTTTTCTTTGTTTACTTCCCCCTTCATGCATCGCGTTCGGCCATACCGAATGCCACACGGCGAGAGAAAATCGCTGAAGAAGAAACAAGTGGATCTAGAGAAGGGGCGTGGCTATTCGGTCGCGAATCAATTCCAGGGGTCCCCCAACGTGCACCATCAGGAGTCGAAGGAGATAACAAAAGGGGATCGAAAATTTGAAGGCAACTTACCGGGATACTGCCAGAGGGCGGGCGGTGTCCTAACGGCATTCTGGACGGCGGCAGCGGCGGCGGCTGCCGCAGCGTTGGTCACGCCCATCGTGACCGCCTCCGACGAGAGGGGTATCATGGAGTTGCTGCCTGTGAAAAACATGTTCTGGCTCAGGCTCGGCGTGTTGCAACCTGAATGGCGTGAAAGGAGCGAAGAATCGATCCCGGTCAGCGGTGCAAGGCATTGATGGCGGCAACGGCGGCGGCAGGGACGGGTGGGTTGACGTTTGAGTGTTGAACAAATGGCAATGTGATGCGATGTTGGTAGTGCACACGAAACGTTTGTTGATGAATCGTGTATGGTATGCACGTGAATGGAAAATGGAATGGCAAAGAGGAGAGATAGAAAAGAGAGAAAAATATGTATGTGATAATTATGCATAAACAAGTTTAATAAATTAAAGCAGCTGTGAAGAACGCAGGGGAAGGTTTGGGACGCGGGATTTGTATATATGAGCTGGTGGTTTTCGGGGGAGCAGAGAAGCGGTGGAATGTTTCGAGGGAACCGGACGAAGGCGTGCGCAGGGGTGATTCATAGCTATTTTGATTGCATTTCATCAATTTTAGAATAAGCGTGCAGTTGTCATTTTTTGGAAACAGATTTGATTTGGATTTGATTTAGGTCTAGATTTTAGGTCATCTTCACCCGGAACCTGCACACGTCATTGCCGGAAAAAAAATATCATATTAAGATAAACGCGATGATGTTCAACATGCGGAAAAGAGATGGACAACTACAGGGCGTTCGCGCCAAGTGCTAGTGAAAGGGAGGCAGGTTTGGTCGGAGCAGGTCGATTCTTGGTAATCGAGAATAAATAAAAGGCAACATAAAATAAATTAACGAAAATTACCTAAATCAGCGGTAGATCCGGTAGCTGCTATTCCGAACCGGTTTAGTTCTTTGGCTTGATGATGGAGCTGCGAGCCCGGTCCGCAGGCGTTCGTCGATTCCTGTAACCGCTGGCGAGCGACGGCTATGCCGACCGGAATCGTAGCCGCGGCATTGTTCTGGGTGCTGGTAATTCCGATGTGGTCCATGGCGTTTCCGGAATTGGACAAGCACGGAGCGACCTTCGGTGAGGGGGCTTCGATTTTGACAACGGCCGTCAGCGCCGTCGTCGTGCTAGCCTCGTAGTTGTTCGATGTGGTTACTTCGGACACTTGGCACGGTTCACGTTTAATCTGCAGGGAGAAAAAAACCGAATGGTCAATTAAATTGCCGATGCTAAAAGGGTCGAAGGATAATCCTGCCCCGAAAACTTATAACGTGCTTTCAACTCCGCATCGCCGGGAGGAGTGCGGAGCAGTTAACCTTAATGTGTGAAACGGGAAAAAGGGCCATCGTCTTGCCGTGCGCACAGTTCGGTCCATCTGGGTCGGCCATAAAGCTTGACCATAAAAATTTAACCTAAACGTTTAGGCTAATGAACCCACCGGTTTATGGCCATCGAGGTCTTCTCCGTGCATCGTTCCCCCCCCATCCTTTCCCTTCATTCAATTCAAACTGGGAAAAAGCGGAGGGCCTTATAAATAATTAATCAACGTGAATCGTAGATAACCACAACTCTTCAATTTCGCAAGAAAAAAAGCAAACACTTTTTGCTCGTTAAATGCAATTATCATACGGCTGTGCGCGATTCATTCAACCCACGAGGGGCTACCCAAACTACGGCTGCCATCCCATGTCATCGCGCATCACCCCTCGTGGTCGTCGTCGTCGTCGTCGTCTCCGTCGGAGTAGGCGCAATGAAAAATTGAAAACAATGCACTTGAACGTGAATAGTAATGCAGCAGCAGCAGCTGATCATCTGCATTGTTACCGCGAGTGGTGCGGATGGCGACGGACGGGCAAGACAATGGCCACTGTTTGTGTCATTTGTGATTTTTGCCGTTGTGTTCAACGAAGAACCTGCTCAACAAATGTGTGTGTGTTTGTGTATATGTGCGCGCGCTTTCCAATTGGAAAACAAAGAAATCAAAAGGCTCACTAGGCTACTGAAGCTGAAACGGAACGAAACGAAAAGAAGCAACTCTAGGTAACCGAATGCAATCTCGGCAGCGTCGGGAATGCAATGTGCCAATGATGGTAATTAAACGTAATGACGTGGTGGTGGACACCGACGGTTAAGGTGGACAATTTACAACTCGACACGAAGGTTTGTTAATCAGTCAGCCCAAGTGCAGAGGACCCGGCAATCATCGGAGAATGAGCGGAGAAGATGATGGGGTGTCGGTTTGTACCCCGCATGTGCTCGTCGTTGGACAATGGAATGCACTGTTGATTCGTTGTTCTGCGCCGTTGGTCGCCAGGAGGAAAGGTTGTAATTTATAAGGAATTTGATTTGATAATAAGCGGATGAGTAAGCTCTACTGGTTGGGAGCTGGGAATTTGCAGAATGGCTTTTCACTGTTTGATGTAACACACTCGTTTGACTGTCATGGCTGAAGTCTAGAGTCCCAAAAGAAGCCTTACATGCGAAGCTATAGCTGGACAGTACACCTAAACAGGTGCCCACAGGGTACACTTAACTGAGTAAATATTATGTCTACGATTGAATTTCAGGACTACTTTCCGGAAGTAGGGTTATATCACTAGTTGTGATGCCCCATTGAGTAGGGGAAGAGAACGCCCATTATCCAGATTTCCCCCACCAAATGCCTACTGCAATAATGTCGAACATCTCAAGTTTTCAAAGGCCTTCTTTGAGAAACCTTCAGCAAAGTTTTTCTCTGATGATTTTTAAAAATATTTTCAAATTTCCCTTTGACATTTCGCTTAGTATCAGTTCAGACTTTCTGAAAGCTTTGGAGCCAACAAGAAAGTATTGAAAGACACTTTTTAAGTCGCTCTGAAATGTATTTCAAGCGCGTTTTATTAAATTCTCTGGTTCCTTGAACTTCTCTGAGGTCGTATGTTTCCAAAGATTCCCTGAACAATTTCTTTGAAGTTCGACGAAGGTTTTGGAGTTTCCTTGAAATGCTCTGAGGGTTCAATATTTCTCCAAGATTTTTCTGAAGTTCTCTGAACTTTGTTGAAGTATTCTATTATGAGACAATGATGATCTTCTCTGAAGTTCCCTAGATTACGGAGAAGCTGACTGAGCTTCTCGGAACTCCGCTGAATTTATCTGAAATTCGTTGATTTTCTTTGAATTTCAAGGAACTTCTCTAATCTTGACTGATCATCTCTGAAGTTCTTTCAACATCACTGAAGTTCTCTGAATGGATCAGAAAAACAATGCATAGTCTTGGGGACTATCCATAAATGACGAAGCATATTTTTTGACCATTTTTAGACCACCCCTCCCCCTTTGTAGCGTGTTTTGCATTAATATATGTACCTTCTCTTTCTAAGAAAACGAGGTGCAACGGAATCATTTTTGCGACGATTCAACTCTCAGCTTCAACTTTACACGTTGTGAATAGTCTCGCAATATCAAAGGAGCTTGTACAAACAATATAAAGCATGATATTTTACTCGATTATCACGCGTGATTTTGAGAGCATATGAGAGCGGAAAAATATCAATTTGTTTATGATTATTCCATCACTGTGTGGACTTTTCTGAGGTTTACTAAACTGTCTTTGCATTTTCAAAGCTCGTCTGAGGTACCCTGAACTTTTCCGAAGATCTCTGCACACCTCTTAAGTAGTGATGCACCGAATAGTGCCAATTTTTTTTCTGATATTCGGTATTTTTTCAGCTAACAAATGGCCGACAAAGTGTTTCAGCAAAATTTATAGAGCGCATAACTTGATATTCGGACTAAACATACGGCCGAATATTATGGCGGCCGAATATTCGGTGCATCACTACTTTTAAGTACGCTGAACTTCCTTAAGGTTCTCTGGAATTCTGTGAGATTATCTTAATTTCTTTAAGATTTCCAAAGCTGCTCTGAGGTCCCTAGATCTCTCTGAACTTTTTTGAGCTTTTTGAACTTCTCAGAGGCGTCCCAATTTCTCTGAAGGCTTCTTAGGTTCCAATGGACGTTTCCGAAGAGTCTGTCTAAAGTTTTCCTAAGCATATATGAATTTGGCTGAATTTAGTTGAAGTTAACTGAACTTCTCAGAGGGCCTCTGAGAGGATTAGGGAGATGCTTAAAAAGAAGAAGAAGAAGTTTTGGTCCTAACCATGTTGCAAGTGCAACTGTAAAAAATTGGTTCGATTAGATTATGTTGTTGTGAAAGATATTCAGAGTAGAGTGCTTAAACTTCTTTGAAGAAATTCTCGACCACCCAGATCTTCTTTAAAGTTCCTCGAGCTTATGGGATGCTCCTTAAGGTCCTAAGTATGTTTTGCAAGCTGCTTTGAAGTTCTATGAGCCTGCACTTATCTATACTTCCTGGAGCTTCTCTGAGGTTCCCTTAGACGTCTCAGAAGATACCTTCTGAGGATCCCTTAAATTTTTCTAATGTTCGATGTGTCTAGCTGTGGTTTCAATGAAGTACTCTGATATTCTCCAAATTTCTTCGATATTTCCAGATCTTTCTTGATATTCCAAAAAGTTCTCCAAATTTTAATCTTCTCTGAGGTTCTTTTAATGTCTCTTAGAGATCTTTATGCAAGTTTCACGGCGTGTCCAAAGAGGTGGATTAAACTCGGGTTTGTATTGGTGCTTAGATGCCTAAATCGGTTGTTTTTTTTATTCCACCGGAGATAATTGTTGGTGTATTTTTACATGAGAAAGTTTTGGCTAACTAAGAAGAAGTGCTTTAGATAGGTTCGCGAAATTTTTAAGCGATTCAATCGATTTCAGAAGGGTAGCAACTTCGGAGCTATCCAGTAAATTTTGGACGAATTTGGAGAGCTTTTTAAAGAGCGTTCAGAGAACTTTGGACATGGTCGACGAAGTTCTAAGAGGTTTAAGAAGCTTCAGGAATTGAAGGAGAGGGAGGAGGAGGCTCATGTACCTTCTGAGAACCTTTCAAAATTTCATCAAGATTCATAGAAATTTATAGTATTTTATGGAACTTCTGAAATATTTAGAAATTGGCGGCTGTTTGAGGATTTGTCTGATTGTTTAAGGAATTGGAGTATAGAATTCCTGGATCTCTGAGAAGTTCTTGAAATTTTGAAGAGTATTCGCCCATTCATAGAGTTTCTGATCACTTCAGAAATGTTCAAATAACTTCGGAGAGGTTTAAACAACCTTGGAGGAATGCAGTAATTTTTGGAATAGCTTGAAGAGCTCATGGATTGTTCAAAGAGCTTAATTTACGGTCGAAAAAGTTCTTAGATGTTTTAGGGATCTGAGTATTTTAAGGGCGTTATTAAGCGTTTTTATATCCGTCTCGAAAAGTTCAGAACTGAGTTCTGAAAATTTTACAGACCTCTGGAAAAATATATTAAGATGCAGAAAACTTCATAGAGGTTTTAGGAACTTCCGAAATGTTCAACCTTTAGTGGCATGGCTTCGGATGGCATCGGAAATCTTCAGAGAGTTTAAATGTTGAGAGTACTTAGGACAAGGTCGTCACTCTAAAAGGTTTTCGATACTCCAATAGTTGGGGGAGAGAGAGTTTTCGAAGATCTTAAGCGTGTTCCAGAGGGGTTCTTCTAACTTTGAAGAGTTTCAGCGTATTTTTAGAATTTCCGTAATTTAGAGGCGATCTGATAACTTTGGAGATCTTAAGACTGCCAAAGAGTTACTGCATACTTCAGAGCTATTCACAAGAATATGGAAGGAATCAAGAGACTTCCATGTTGTGTAGTAGGATTTCATCGAGCTTGGAGAGTTTAGAGAGTGTTCAGAGAACTTTGGACAAGGCCGTGGAAGCTCTGAGAGGCTTGAGCAATTTTAGGAGGTGAGTGGGAGGTTTCGGAAATCGTATTTAAGAGAGGTTATGTGATTAGTTTCAGCAAACTTCCAATAGATTCGGCATATTTCAGAACTTTGCATATGATTTTGGAGCTTATGGGCTCTTCAAAGAACTAATGCAAAGAACTATACCACGGTTGAAAAAGTTCAGAGTGTTTTTGGAGACCTTTTTAGGTTTAAATGGGTTACATATACCTTTGGGGGTTCGGAGACGCTCTGAACCTTTTAGGGTTCTTCGGAAACTTTCATCACGATTCAGAGACTTCATAGAAGTTTTTGGAATTTCTGACCTAGAGGTGACCTGATAATTTATGGTACATCCTTAACTTTTGGAGAATGGAGATTCCGAACTTCTTCCGTGAACTTTGACTTAGGAGATCTGAAGCATACTTCAGAGAGATTCTTCGAAGTTCAGAGCGGTTCACGAGACTTCTGCGGGGTTTCAAGGAACTCGGAGGTGTGCAGTAGGTTTTGAACGAGCTTGGAGGGCTAAAGGTGATCTGAGATCTACGGACAAGGTCAGGGAAGCTCTGAGAGATTTGAGATACTTCGGTATAAGCATTTTCGAAGCTATCCAGTTAGTTTTGGATGATTTCGAAGAGCTTATGCACTGTTCAAAGAACTAATACCACGGTCGAAGAAGTTTTGAGAGGAGTTTTAGGGGGTTCACATTTATCCGGGGAAATTCAGAAAAGTTACGAAACATTTATTGGAATTTAGGGAAAATGTCATCAAGATCCAGATAACTTCATAGATGGATCTTCTAAAATATTAAGAATTCGGTATCATTATGGATTAGTCTGATAGTTTATGGAACTTTCGTAACTTCTGGAGTATGAAGTATTCGAGCTTCTGAGAGGTTCAGGTTCAGTTCAGTTCAGAGATCTTAAGCGAACTTCAAAGGCGTGCAGAAAGCTGTGAATAAGTTAGGAGAGCTTAAGAAGTGTTCAGACAACTTCTTAGCGGCTGTCCATATACCACGTGGGCAATTTTTGAGAGGTTTTAGACTCCTCCCTGCCCCTCCGTTGAATCATCAATATGTGTTTTGAAAAATTGTATAGACCGTGGACATTAGCCCAGGCAGTTTTTGAGAGGTTTTAGACCCCTCCCTGCCCCTCCGTTGAATACCATTAAAATATTTTTGGAATAATTGTAAGGACCGTGGACATTAGCCCACCTCTCCCCTTCTTAAGTGTCCACGTGGTATATGGACAGCCCCTTATATGGTTCAAGAAGTTCTGATAGGTTTTAGAGTATTCAGGAGTTCTATGAACCTTCAGATACGTTCTGGAAACTTCAGAAACGTTTCGAAAATGTTAGTGAATGCCGGACAATTTACATGTCCTGGATCTTCTGAAATATTCAGAATTATGAAACCGACTAAAGGATCTTTCTGATAGTTTATGAAAAAATATTAGAGGATCTCGCAAGGGGTTGTCCACAAAGCACTGCTTCCTGCGTGGACAATTGTTCATACAAATCATTGATAATTTGTGTGGGCGGTGGTCTCTCCTAAAATCCCTCCCTCTTCTAAACCGTTCACGTGATATATGGACAGCCCCAATATGATCTGTATCCCAGAATTGATCGAACCTCCTTTAGCTTTATTCGGTTAAAGCGCAGGTATAATGCAAGAACTAGTGTTTCCAACCTGGGACATCCGGAAACACAATTTCCGGGAATTTTACCAAAAATCACGTTTCCCGATTCCCGGGAAACAGTTTTAGGAGAATTTTGGGAAGAAGTTACAGGAAATTTCCCAGATGAATCAAAAGAAACTTCATAGGAGAAAGTTTGAAGAATGTTCCAGAAGAAGTCGGAAGAATTTTCCGGGGGAGGCCAGAAGAAACATCCGGGGAAATCAGAAGACATTTCCATACGAAGCCAAAAAGACTTATCAAGGACGTCGGACGAAGCTTCTGGGGATGTCGAAAAAACTTCTGGGGCAGTTAAAAACGATTCAATAGAAACTTCCCATGAAAGCTTAAAGAAACTTGCTGAAGAAGTTGGATGAATCTCCAGTGGATGTCAGAAAAAGCTTTTGCGGAAATATCTTCTGAGTTAAAAGATTAGAAATCCGAATGAAATCCGAAGAAAATTCGGAGGCAGCTTGGACATTTTATGCGTTGGAAGCAACCTAATACTTTTCTGGTCTTAGAACTACAATAGTTCTCGATTCCCAGGAATTTCCGGGAAGAGCCATAAGCAGCTGCCCGTTTCCCGGGAAGCCAAAAATGGCTAGGAGATGGAAACACTTTGCAAGACCATGCTGCAGGTGACAGATTGGATTCCTATTCTAGGTCTATTCTAGGATTTTTTTTTGGAGTTGGGGTATCGAAATACTTGCCATAGAATATACGAATGCAAAAATGATGCACGCATAGAAAGCCCTCTAGTAAGAATTATGGAGAGAGCAGCCCGATAGTTCTAGTTGGGACGTATTAGCCAAAATAGACAATTCTTGAAAGAAATTGCAGTCCGAGATTTTGGAACGTTTTCCAAGTTCCAGAATTATGAATTATGAATCTTTAATTTTTCCTCAGTCCGAGGTTGCGTAAATTTGTGTAGATCCACATTTTGTTCTATGTCCAGTATCTTAAAAAAAAAACATTTCAAGCCCAAGATAATATAAAATTTGCTAAGGATCAGAATCTAGGAAATTTATCAAACCCTAAGGATCTGGAAAACTTTTCTTTCAAGATCTCAAAAATTATACTAGACTGGTCACTGTATCCGGAACATGTCCGGGTGTGGCCAATGTAGTCTACAACACTCCAATGGATTTATTCTTGAAAGCTTGTATGATTTGATGTGCATCTTAAGGTGTTTTATAAAGAGTCCAAAGATGGCCACCATGATGGTTGATATGTCCTATCACTTCAAATTTTCTAGAGCACAAATCTCGGACGTGTACGATTCCGTTATTCAAATAAAAGCGATTCGATGGTTTGCTTGAGCAATCACAGACACTAGCTTCTTTGATGTCCTAACTATTCTTTTTAATACATCAAAACCACCCATTTCTTTACCAGGGTTCCCCGTCAGAGTCCGTCTCCACGCCACCGTTTGCATAACATTAAACTAAATTTAACGATAACTTAAAAGTAAACATGCACATATAGAACTTAGACAACTAATGAACTTAAATTTATTGCTGCACAGAAGTGACACAGAAGAAAATACACATACAATGTAAACCTCTAAAAACAGCAAACCGACCGATGAAAGCGAAGCAAATGTCACCACCATTGAACCGTGGTACGCATATAAACAACAACCGAGAACAACCAATATAAGAAAGCAAAACAAAAAAAAAACCGAACAACAATTAAATCCAATTTCGGTCCCACGGACCGGTGTCGAGCGGCGGCGATTGCTTTGACCCCGGAACGCGCTGCCTCCGTCCGCAGCGTCGCGTCACCGCGTGCTGAGTTCAATTCAAGTGTCACATTCGTTCTTGTTATGTGACGGTGGTGGCGCCACTGCTGCTGCCATTGCTGCGCGGCGCGGGCAGCGATAAATATGATAAAGACGATTGACATTTGCATTGAGCTCGAACCCATCCCATCAGGGCTGGGGGTGCTGAGGGCAACCGACGACGATCGCGGACGGCGGCCTGCGTAGCTTCCGTTTGCGATGACATAAACGTTATGCTATTTTTGATAATGTTTTGTTTTGTTATAAGTTAGGGTGTATGGTACAAAATAAACAACTGAAGAGCAGCTACGGAGTGAAGTCGCATGCTATGAAGTACTAGAATGTATCATGGACTTCGCTCCGGAACATAGTAGGAACACAACGGTGAGCTTGAGTTGTGATCACTTACGTGAATAACCGAGCATGCCGTGTCGAGGGAGTTTCTGGTCGGCTCGATCGTCGATGAACTCCAGGTTCCGCCGGTACTCTGCGGTAGCGGCGGTGGTTGTTGGTAGTGTTGATGCTGTCGGTTGTTACGCGCCGTTACAATGACACTGCAATCGGATGAACGCTGCACGGTGCGTTGTTGTGGTTGCGGCTGCTGCTGCTGTTGTTGTTGTTGATTGATGGTGCACAGTGCGAACGATGGCGATGACAGACAGGACGGTGCTACCGTTGCTGTGGTGACCGTCTTCGTACTTGTCGTCGGCGTTACCACCAGGTCAAGCGTGCTCGATCCGTCGTTGTCTGAGGCCGTTCGATGTTCCGACAGTCGCAAAAGCGTGGTACGAGCAGAATTACTAGTTATAAGTGATTGTTGTCTTTGATGTTGGTTATTTTGTACTGGTAGTTGCTGTTGCTGTTGTTGTTGACGCTGAACGTAGTGTTGTTGTTGTTGATAATAATGACGGCGCTGATCTAATCCGTCTGATTTATTGCTAGTATTGTTATTATTATTAAGATTATTGCTATTGTAAGTAATCTGACTGCCGGAACTAATATTTTCGGTCTTTATGGTTAAATTAGTTACGGATGGTACGGGAGGTACCTGAGTGGAAATAACACAATAATGATAAGAAAATTATCGTCCACACGTTATTACACGAGGCGAAGAGCGAGAAAAGCACAGTGTACACACTGAATGAAAAAGCCTACTTTGGAAGATTGAAGGAGGGAAAGTGTAATAAGAGGAAGAAACGTGCCATATGAAAGAGAACGGGGAATGGAAATCTCATCGCGCTCAACGGAGCGCACTCGTCATTCGTTTTCTTCATGGTTTCTTTCTTCTCCCTCTTGTGTGTATGTGAATGTGAATGGATCTTTGTGTTCCAAGGCAAAATTGTGATGCGCCTGTCAACATGTAATCGAATAATTATACCTCATCATCGTCATTAAAAGTTACTGCATCATAACGGATTAGACCAATCTTTTCTTTTTTTAGAGCGAACAGAAGAGCGAACTCAAGTGGTAATTTTGAACAAAATAAAGAATTTTGACAGCTTGAACTGGGTCGTGCCGGTTCTAAGCCTTCTTCTAGGATGATTTAGTCTATTGCATCATATTTTCCCCTGGACCTGGACACAACTTGTGTGGATCTAGGTGCAAACTAGCGGGAAGATGCTAACTTTCGAACGAAAACAACAAACTCGAATAGAGAAAGAAATAGAAAGAGAGAGAGAGAGAGACAAAAAACAATACTCACTTGTATCTGCAGCGGCTCTAGAGTGCCGTGCTCCCACCTGCCAATGCAGGTCTCCGTCTTTTTGGCAACCGCCGTGGTTCCATTGATAAAGTCCGTTTGCGACTGTACGAATATGCTGCTATTGGCCTGGAAATAAATGGAGAACAGAAAAGTGTGTTCAATTAACAGCGCCAATTTCCTTCTTCGGACAATCATCACCATTAGCATGATGAGCAATTTACGAGGTCTTTACTGACGCATAGAAATTATCATCGTTGCAAGGAGAGAAAAAACTATCTGCAGATCTGAAGCTTTGTGCAAAAAAAAATATTAAAGTCACGAGTCATTCTTAACCTAACCTAAAACCCAGAAGATCGCCTGCTTAGATTGATGGACACACATTCGGACGGAGATATTTATCCGTCTCTTGCGGAGACGAAACAGGAATTCGGTGTTAATGTATTCAAGTTAAGCCAGCTAGAAAATTGGTGTGCATTATTTATGTTACTGTAATTTATTAGTTTTCTTCCATTGCTGTTCGGGTTGTTCGATGTAATGCTGTGCCTTTGTTGTTTTTTTTTTGGCAAGACCTTAAACTTTTCCCGAAGGTTAGAAATTTCTGGTGAACGAAGCGCGCAAAAAGGAAGATTAATGTTCACTCTCTATCTCTCGGGCTCCGAGGAGGGATAATCTATTTTTAATCACCTGCGAGGAATCTTTCTCTCCTCAGTGCGTTAAGGCAAAGATGACTTTTGCCGGTGCGGACCCCATGCCGGGGTTCGGTTCCTAAATAAACAGAGAGTGACGTTTCGTCTTTGACTGCATAAGCACTCCAGTAATGTACTTTTCCGTTTGGTTTGTATGCGTGCATGTGGATTCGGTTGGTTGGTTTCAGGGCAGTGTGTGAATCCTGCGGCGGGGCTCGTTCTCTGCACCATCATCATCGCTCACCGCAGTCTCTGTCTCTCTCTATCTCGGAATCGATTGATCGATGCTAACGACCAACCAAACCAATCACCATGCATCAGACCTTCAGGACCAGACCATCGACCGACCGAACGAACGAACGAACGAACGGCAGGGGTGATGCGAACTTTTCAGCTCATCAATAATCGCCAGGAGTTGGCTTTTGTGCGTCGTTTCTTGCGCTACCTTTTCGCAAACAGGTGATTAATGATGGGTTTTATGCTTCCGTTCCCCGTTGGTAGCGGTGCCGGTAGTCGAAGGAAGGAAGCGATTCGTCCCAACCCAGCTTCAGAATTTAATGAAACTGAGGAAAGAAGCTGGGGTGTCCTCCAACAAGGATGCTTGAAGATTTGAGTATTTTAAATTGAAGTAATTTCATCAATGCGATTTGAAAGGTTCCATTCAATGTAACGGTAAAGCTTTTTTTGGACTTCAGTTCCATTGTTTATGCTAAATACGAATATGTATTTACGGCAATACCCCTAAACAACCCAATTGGAAAAAATACGTATTGTACGAACTGGTTAAATTATTCTCAACGATTGAACGAATAACACAAAACATTTAAAACTTAGTTTGCCTATTGCACATAACTGCATAAATCTTTCTTGGAAATCTATAATAAATCCTTGTCAAGAGTAGGTTTTATCGTAGTAACAGCAAGTTGAACAGGAACTTGGATGTATTTTTTTGTGAAATAAGGAGCTCGGTGGCGTTGCGGCAACCGATTTTGCTTACTGTGCAGAAAATCATGGGTTCAATCCCAAGCTCCTTCACATTATATAGTTATACTTTAAATCGGATTTCTTTCATAATATGATGTAAAGCGTAAAGAAATTCGGTTGGAGGCCGTCAAGAGGAGCTATTATAAGGAGCTCGGTGGCCTAGTGGCGACCGATTTTGCTTATTGTGCAGAAGACCGAGGATTCATCTCTAAAAGACGTCGATGAATACTTTTACACCTATAAAATCTGCATCATTCAATTCATTCTTGGATCTCAGCGAGGATCCCAGGATGTATCTAGACACAATTGTGGGCATTTAGTGACAACTTTTGCATTTTTTACATTCCTGTAACAATTATTGTTAGAATTTTGAATGCATCCTGGCATGGAATGATTTAACCTCACTTTTTTGACAGTTCATGAAGCCTGTATACAAGGTGTTAGAATTTGAAACAAAAAAACGTAGCTTTCCGTTGTCGTTTTTCAGATTTTGAACGATGCGATTTTGAAACTCTTGGAGAATTTGCACTGGACAGTGGTGGACAAAAAAACCATCCAGTGCACATACGGTTAGCTCGTTCTTTGATTCTCATTAGAGAGGGTCTAGTATAAGGTCGCCGCCATAGTGAGAGCGCAGATAACCTAGCTATTTAGCACTGTAATGGAGGAAATGCCATTTACAAACCCGTAGCTTCCGGGAAAGAAGCAACACCAACATGGAGTTGAGAACAAGAAGGTTAAGACCAATGCGATCGCCAGAGGAGGAACCCCCTACTGGTCCTAGACTGGGGACAGAGCGAGCGGCCAGCGGCTGGAGGAAGATGAGGTGCAAGAGCTGGACTAGAAGACCCCCAACAGCTACCAGAATTCATTACCAGAGGGGATACGTATCTTCTGCCCAAGGACAGGCGAATAACATGCCTGTACAAAGTACTCTCATTAGTCATAAATCGGAAGATACAGAACCATTGCAATGTAAAAACGTTATGAGCTTGAGCTTGAGCTTGAGCTTGATTGACCGCCCACGGTTGCTACTCTGTTACTGCCAGATCAGCTGTAATTACACAGAGAACCAATAGACGATGCTTGGGACTAGCAATCATCCTCAATGTGTAAAAACTGGTGATCTTAAATTAGGCAATACCAGCGCCGGCCGCGTCCGAACACAGGTCAAGAAAGGAATGGGAAGGATTGTGTTGACATGACACTCGCTTTGATGGAAGCCGAGAACACCTCTGCACTTCCACGAGGAATCACTGGGATGTTGAATAAGAGGGTTGGGTTTGCAGCAGGGTTCGTTTTGGTAAACGATAAGCTGAATTGATGTCCTAACGATCATATAACGCGAAGGAGCTTGGGACTAAACCCACGGTCTTCTGCTCAGTAAGCAAAAACGTTTGCCACTAGGCAGACGAGCACCTTTTTAATCACCGAGTTGCTGTTATTACCATGTAGTCAATTTAACAAATAAAACGATTGACAAATCTTGAATGTGGATGGGCCTGAGATAAAACTCATGATGTTCTGCTCAGTAAGCAAAAACGGTTGCTCTAAGGCCACCGAGCCCTTCATATCACATAATACCGTTGCTCAAATTTTTGTATCCATTCAAACCCGGAACCAACGACAACAACGAGTTTCGCAAAATACGCGATACACAAGCGATTTTACCATAAATCTCTTTGATATGTAAGGACCTGGGACCGCGTTTTTCTGCTCAGTAAGCAGGTCACTGTAACCGACGATCTTTCAAATCCGAAAACTAAAAACTACGAAAAAGTACTTAGGCCTTCATTAAGTTCCACTTTCACGCAACGTTCAATGACAGGGTCCTATCCAGGATTACATCTGAAAAATCCAAATCTGGCCAACGCCCACCCTAAACCTAAACCTGTTCTAATCCACCTGAAATGACTAACGAATGGAAGACTTTGACTACCCAGCCATGCAATAGTCTCATTCCGTGCCTATCCTATCCTCATCTTTTGGCACCACCCAGGGGAGACTTGGTCCTGTACCCAATGCTTAACTTATCTCCATTCCACTCAGCTACTCGCAATTTCTTGTGATATAGTGGGCGGAATATTATTATATGAGACAATTCAATGCAGACGTCTTTCCAAATTTGGCAGATCGACAGGTAATCGGTGAGTTATCACGATAGTTGCTATTCAACAACTCGACAACGTCCCATCGTCAACGCCTGCTATGAGAATTTCCCATTGCAGACGCCAACGAAATGACGTCATCGAGCTATCGATCAACTACCCTGGTTATCGCCTGGTACCTTATAGCACGATGCTAGGAGGCGAACCGGAAGAATCGATGAGCTACCTCCCCCCATTGCAATGTAAAAACGTTATGGCCGAAGAACAGAAGGGCTGCCGGCGAAACACTCAAGGCAGCAAAGATCAGGTCATCATCGATGCAGTTATTGTCGGTCAGGCGAGCCAGAAAAAGAGAAACCTGAGCATTGCGTACACCGATTACAAGAAGGCGTACGACTCAGTACCGCATTCGTACCTTATCAAGGTACTGCAGTTGTACAAGGTGGACGATGGAGTCATCAGGCTTATGTAGCACGCAATGGGAATGTAGAGCACATTTCTCCACGTTAATGACGGAGCAGTGGTGTTACGGTCCAGAACTCTCAGCATAAGAAGGGGGATTTTCCAAGGCGATACCTTTAGTCCGCTATGGTTCTGCGTTGCGATGAATCCCCTAAAAAAGAGCACTCAACCAATGCAACTATGGCTACCATTTGAAAAGCGGAGAAAGAAACACAAATGTTACCCACACCTTCTACAAGGACGCCTTGAAGCTGTTGGCGCAAACAGTGGAGAAGTTGCACCGTCTCTTACAGCTTGTAACGGTGTTCAGTAATGACATCCGGATGGAGTTTGGAGTCGATAAATGTCGAACATTCAATATCCGTCGGGGTCAAGTAGTGTACCGTTTCCGCATCAACGAACAGGAGAAGATTCAGAATATGGTTGAAGGCGAAATCGACAAGTACCTGGGGTTCCTGCAACTGAAATGGATTCGCCATACAGCATGTTGTTGCTGGTGCCAAGCGTTGGCAGAAGTAGCGTATCTCGGTCGTCACAACGATGTCGCTAAGATAGTGAACCAACAACTTGCACTGAAGCACAACTTGGTGAACCAGTACGTACCCTACTACAACAACCTGCCCGGTACTGGAAAATAGTTGCATAAAGCTGTACTGGGATCGCGAGATCATTACGGATGTCCACATTCGTGCCAATCGCCCTGACATTGTGGTTTACGACAAAAGGATGAAGCGGGTAACCCTCATCGATATCGCTGTACCGTTAAATCGCAATGTTCAGTCAACGTTCTCGACTAAGATACTGAAGTACCACGTTTTGGCGGAGGAACTTGAAGCAGATGTGCGTATAGTTCCGGTAGTAATCTCGGCGACCCGGCGAATTGTTC